TAACTTTTTAGATGTATAGGCACAAGGTTGTAACCCTCCCTGCTGTGTTCTTTGTAGGAGTACTGCTCCTACAGCCACGTCGCTAGCATCTGCCTGGACTACGAATGCCTGCATTGGGTCTGGATGTTTGAGTACTGGTTCTTGAGCAAAGAGTGTCTTTAACTGCTCAAAAGCCGTTTGACACGCTGACGACCACGTCAACGCTTGTCCCGGCTTTGGTTTAGCCGTGGCCAGTTTGGTCCGTAACAAATCCGTTAGTGGTAGGGCTATTTCAGCAAATCTGGGAATGAACTGCCGATAGAAGTTGGCAAAGCCAAGAAAGCTCTGTAATTGCTTTCTAGTTCTAGGGGCCTGCCATTCAAGCACTGCCTGGACTTTTCTGGGATCCATCTCTACCCCGCTCTCTGATATTCTATAGCCTAGATAGTCTATCTTCTTTTTGTGAAACTCACATTTGGATAGTTTCACGTACAGCCTAGCAGCTAATAACTTGTCTAAGACTTGTCGGACCAGAGATATACGTTCTTCTTCAGTTTGCGTGTAAATCAAGATGTCATCTAAATATACAAGGACACCCCTGTACAGATGTTCATGCAGCACTTCATTGATGAACTGCATGAACACCGCAGGGGCGCCCTGTAGTCCGAACGGCATGACCTGGAACTGATAGCTTCCTAAGGGACAATTGAATGTTGTTTTCCACTCATCCCCTGGTTTGATTCATATCCTATAATACGTTTCGCATAGGTCGAGTTTCGTAAAGATACGACTGGTGGCTAGGGCAGCTAACAGGTCCTTCATTAAGGGAAGTGGATAGAGGGGCTCCACACACACTGTATTGAGACACCTGAAGTCAACGCATAAGCGTAAACCCCCGTCTTTCTTCCCCCGAAACAGGACAGGGGCAGCCATCTTTGATCGACTGGGTGTGATAAAACCCCGGGCCAAATACTTGTCTATATATTTTCTTAATTCTTTTAGTTCGGGTTGTGTCATTGAATACATCCGGGGCTTGGGTAGCTTCGCCCCGGGTATTAACTCAATACTGCAATCCGTAGGCCGGTGAGGGGGCAGGGTCTCACATTCCTCCTCACTAAAGACCCTGGCAAGATCCCTATACACATTAGGATACGTCGTGTCTGATGGTGGGCTCTCTGCTTCTATTCCCCCTGCTGGCTCCTTTTCCTCATTGGTAGGGGGAGGTCCCAACGGTAATCGGAGTTTACGAAAAACCCCTTCCCACCATATCGTAGGATAGCCCACTTGTCCAACCATGCCAATCCTAAAATCACTGGTTCTAACATTTTCTCAACTATAATAAACCGAATGGTTTCGGTGTGCTCCCCAATATCGAGGTGCACCGTTTCTGTTATATGAGTCACTGGTGCCCCTCCCAGCAATGAACCATCCATTTATTCAAAGGTAATAGGGGTTCTCAACCGCACAACCTGCAGCCCAAGTTCGTCAACTATTGCCCTACGTATTAAACAATGAGTACACCCTGAATCAATCAATGCCTCATATCAGCGTCCAGTGGTTGCCCGTGGGTTTCGAAGTATGACTGGTACCACGAAAGGTCAGATGGGGTCGCTCACCATCGGGTCGTGTGGGTCCTCATCGTTGTCATCACTATCCCCAGCCACAATCAGGAATTTTTCCGCCACCACTTTCTTAGTATCTGTAGCTAGGGGATACCTCTCCGTACATGATGTTTGAGTCATTTGGGACCGTTTGGATGTTGGTCGGCCTCTGCCTCTCAACGCAGCCCTAAGAGGGGGGTTCTGGTCCGAGCTGCGGGGCATGGGATGAGGACAGTCGGCTGCTCAATGACCAAGGCGATTACATCTGAAGCAATGAAACGCAGGCCGCTGGATCCTTTCTCCCAAGCCGGAACCAGCATTCGGTTTAGTCTCCTTGGGTGTTTGTGTGCATTCTGCTGGTCGTTTTCCTTGACTTGCAACCCCTTCACCCCGTATACGGAATTCTCGGAGACCGACGTCCAATTCGATGGCTGCCTTGTACCACACACTCAACTTGGGGGGCAAGCCCCGGTACACGCAGGCTTGCCGTAAATCACGGTCTAGTCCTTTATGGAATTGGTGCACCAGAAGACGTTCTGGCCACCCCACCAACCAAGCCGCAATCTTTCGGAACTCCTGTACATAGTCCTTTGCTGGTACGCCCCGTTGCTTAAGCGCAAACAAATCCCCCTCTGCAACCTGGGCGCTTGTTTCGTCTTCAAATCTGGCACGAAGAGCCTCCAGAAATCATCCCATGTCCACGAGTTCCCTTGCATGTTTAGCATGGAGGCCTGCCACCCACTCAGCCACTTCTCCCGTCAGGACCCCCGTAACAGCAACCACCATAGCCCACTGGGAGGGATACCACTGTCCATATTGGTCCATATGGCTTATCACCTGGCTTAAGAAAAGAGCCACTTGTTCAGGGCTTCCGTCAAAGGAAGTCTGCAGGGCAGGCGGTCCCCAAACGGCCTGAGGGACCCACAACCCTGGTGGGGGCCCCGGAGGCCAAGGCATGGGGCCTGGGGTCCTCGCTGCGCCAGTCGCTCTCCTGTCCTGCCTAGGTCGGTCCCTCACCACCCCGCGACCCCCAACAGGTAAGCCCCCTGCCATTTGCATCGGTTGGGGCTCAGGACCGGCTCCAAGGTCTCCCGACGAGGCACCCTGGTCTTGTTCTGGAGGGGGTTGGTCTGTGGATCGTATAGAGGTCCGCTCCATCCTCAATTTAGGACTTGTGAGACGGAATTGGGTCTCCGAAGCGGTCACCCCTGTATCCTGCCAAGAAGAACCTGGAGGCTCCAGCCCTGCAACCCAGGGCTGCCAGGATGGGGCGTCACGAAATCCAGATTCCCCAAAACGCTCACGCAGCATATCCATAGTACTGGGACCGGATGAGGCAGGATACCCCCAATCCCCTTCATCATCATCAGTCCATCGTCTTTCCCTCCAGCCCTGGAAAGACGCTCCCAAACGAGGGGGCGTTGGCATCCGCGGCCCAAGGAGAACAGAGCTGTGCCACCAATCCCCCGTCCGACCCCGTTGTCCTGGAAGACTCTCCTCCTCCGTTCGGGGCGGGGCACTCTTGGGTTGCTTGACTTTTGGTTTCACTGCCAACTGTTCCACACTCTCCTTCGCCTCCTCTATCAGCAATTCCTCCCCCTCCACATCTCCACTGCACTCCTGCTCTTCCAAGGCCGTCCCTTCTGCCATATTCCCCCTTTGCTGCAAAGCCACAGGGAATCCTCACCTCTTGTGAAAAGGAACCAAGCGCTGACTTTCTCTCGGCTTGTCGTTCGTTCAGAACTGCGATAGTAAATAATCACCAGTAACGTACAGAGAATCAGGGTTTACTTTGGCAATGGTAAGCTCGCAATCAAAAGTAAAGTACAAGTCGGTGTTTTGGTTCAAAGTCAGCGCTGGGTGTAACCACACCACAGTGCTATTTAACAAAACTCAGCCCCTTAAACATACATCCGGTGATTATCAATCAAGCACCCCCCACTCCCTTAACAGTAACAGCTGTGGTGATTATCAATCAAGCACCCACCACTCCCTTAACAGTAACAGCTGCGAGCTCCAGAGCAGCAGGGACAGCAGAATCGGAGAACCCGGCAACGTCATCAATCATCGCTATCCGGGAACTGATTGTGTGTTCTCTGCGGCTGCTTATCTCCGCTCCTTCGTCTCCCATACCCCCCATCGATGGCGAGCTCCGGTAGGACTCGACATGTGGTGAGATTACTACATTCAGAAAGTTAGAAACATCCAGCGCTACTTATCATGGAGCAATTGACAGAAGTTGTGGAGATGGGCAAACTGATTGGAGAAAGGGTGACATCTACATTTATTGATTACTGAAACAGTCTTATTGGCTTTTTGTATAAAAAGACCCTCAAAAAATATGAACTTGCAATTTATGGTTTTAGCGATTGGACAGGATAGATTAAAGAAAACAGAAAGTTGCATTGTAACTTTAGTCAGAGATTAAAATATAATTACAATTGTGAAGAACATTGGAAGCAACTTCTTTATACCTCTATATCTTTATTTATATCTTCCTCTTCTTGCACCTGCCTTGTAATTATTTCAACCAAAATTGTTGGCCTGCTTAGGTTCAGAGAGCAGCTCGGACCATTTTCTAAGTGCAGCTTGTTGGAAAATGCTGAGACTTGAAATTCTTCTGTCTCACATTTCTTCATTTCTTCTGGTTGCAAGCTGATCCTTCCTATTCAGGTCTGGCCTCAGAATGATAATGTAGCATTTGGGAATGAAGATGCAACCCAGCAGCCCAGCATTGGAAGCCAAGATGGAGAAGATCAGCACAGCCACCATGTATTTCCCTTTGGTGCTCAGGTAGGTGGGCACAAATGTCACCCAGACACTGCAGAAGACCAGCATGCTGAAGGTGATCAGCTTGGCTTCATTAAAAGCCCCAGGCAGGCTCCTGGCCAGGAAAGCCACTACGAAACAGATGGCGGCCAGGAAGCCCAGGTAACTGAGGGTGATGTAGAACATGACAACAGAGCCTTCATTGCATTGCAGGATGACAACTCCAGGTTGAGAGTGAAAGTCAAAGTCAGGGAATGGGGGAGAAATGCCAAGCCAGATGGAGCAGAGGGTAATTTGGACAGCAGAACAAGAAAGGATGATGGAGTTGGCCAAGCTCTTCCCCAACCATCTCTTCACTCGGTTTCCTGGTTTTGTGGCCAGAAAAGCCAGCACCACTGTGACTGTCTTGGCCAAGAGAGAAGAAATGGCGACTGAGAAAGTGATGCTGAAAACCATCTGTCGGAGAAGGCAGGTGACTTTCCTTGGTTGACCAATGAAGAGAAAAGGAGACAAGAAGCAAAGCAGGAGGGAGACCAGGAGGATATAAGAGAGGTCACGATTGTTGGCTTTGACAATGGGAGTTTCTCGGTATTTAATGAATATGATTAACTGAAACACTGTAGTTAGGAACAAGAATAGAGCAAAAGAGACCAGGATGATGCCCAGATATTCTTCATACAATAGGAAGGATTCAGTTTTGGGAATACATTGGATTCTGTCCCCATTTGGATATTTATCATCCAGACAGTTTATGCATTGTTCCATATCTGAGAAAACAACAAAGCAATATTTCTTTAACTTTCTGACCTTTCATATTTCAAGAAATACCTTCTTGCGACAATAGCTGATACCACAAGCATTTTCAAAGAAGCATTTGTTAAGAGCTGAACCAAAAAAAGATTCTGAAGAATAGAATTTTCTATCTCTATGTCTGTTTGTCTGTCTGTCTGTCTGTCTGTCTGTCTGTCTGTCTCTATCTATCTATCTATCTATCTATCTATCTATCTATCTATCTATTTTTTATCTATCTATCTATCTATCTATCTATCTATCTATCTATCTATCTATCATCTCTCTCTCTCTCTCTCTCTCTCTCTCTCTCTCTTATATCTATTTATCTCAACCTCTATCTCTATTATCTCTCTCTGTTTCTACCTCTCACCTCTATCATCTATCTATCTATCTATCTATCTATCTATCTATCTATCTATCTATCTATCTGTGTTGCTGATATTGCTGAGGTCTATCAAATTTGCGGAAGTTCTAGGAAACGAATAATTTCCTCTGTAATGTGCAGAACCTTTATAGGAAGCAAGAGCCTTGGTGGCGCAGCAGACTAAAGTGCTGTTAAGTAGCACCAGCTGCCTGCAATTACTGCAAGTTCAAATCTCACCAGGCTCAAGGTTGACTCAGCCTTCCATCCTTTTGAGGTAGGTAAAATGAGGACCCGGATTGTGTGGGCAATAAGCTGACTTTGTATAAAAAAGAACACTGCTTGGGGGGGAGGGAGGGGGCGAAAGCCCTACTAAGCAGATATATACAAAAGTATGAAGGCCATTGCTTAACACATTGTAAGCCGCTCTGAGTCTCTGGAGAAGGGTGGCATATAAATCGAATAAATAAATAAATAAATAAATAAATAAATAAATAAATAAATAAATAAATAAATAAATAAATAAATAAATAAATAAATAAATAAATAAATAAATAAATAAATAAATAAATAAATATTGGAAGTAAAAAAAAATGAAATAAGTAACTTTTCTAAGCAAACATCCTGAGTCCTGCCAGATGACACTTGTTAATATACTAGATCCTGAGGATGTTTTATCTTTTATCTATCCAATTTCTTCTTTAAGGTTTTTTTTTTTTTTTTTTTTTTACTATTCTTTCCTATAGATCATAAATTGTGCAGAATAGAAATTAACAAGAAAGCAGCTGAGCTTCAAACTGTCTTTTAATTTGCAGTTCCATATAAACACTCTGGATCAGCGCTGTCAAACTCGTGGCGCGTGTGCCAGATGTATCACACACTGGCCACACCCCCACCCAGTTACCAAAGGGAAAAAAAGTCCCGATGTGATGGTACGATGATGACGCGAGTTTGACACTCTTGCTCTGGATGAATCCACTTCCACAAGTCCTTCCATTATCTTCAGCATGAGCACCTTCTTGAATGGAGATAGTCCCCTCTGGACAAGGAACACAGTCATAGCAGCAAACTGGCTCTCCTTCTCGAGCTCGCTTGACAAATCCAGGTTGACATTTTCCCACACATTTGGACTGAGGAAGAGACTAAGCAGAAAAAATAAGGATTTTTTTTTAAAAAAAAACCCACTAGCGTTAACCAGCCTGACATGCTGACATGTTCTTGAAATAAGATTTAAAGTGACTGCTCAGTTTCTAGAACCATAGTGATATGAGATAGAGGTGAGGTCATTAGGACATGTCCCTCAAAATGAACAAGTCAGGCATCTTTTGCTGCAGCATCTGGGACATGGATACAAGTTGTCAGAAGGAGATATTTATAAGGCTCAACTAGATATCCAAGACAAGATCCTTTCTGCTGAAGAACTTCAATAAGATAACAACAACTGGCATGGAATAACAAATTTGTTCCATGACAATAACAATAACAATATGTTATTGAATAATAACATATCTGCATTACAAATTTGTATAACTATTATAAAACTAGAGGTGGTATTCAGCCAGTTCGAAGCAGTTTGGGTGAACTGGTAGCGGAAATCATGGGTGGCAACTTGTTCCACTGATTAATTGTTCTAACTGTCAGGAAATTTCTCCTTAGTTCTAAGTTGCTTCTCTCCTTGATTAGTTTCCATCCATTGCTTCTTGTCCTGCCCTCAGGTGCTTGGGAGAATAGCATGACTCCCTCTTTGAGGCAGTCCCTGAGATATTGGAAGACTGCTCTCATGTCTCCCCTAGTCCTTTTCATTAAACTAGACATACCCAGTTCCTGCAACCGTTCTTCATATGTTTTAGCCTCCAGTCCCCTAATCATCTTTGTTGCTCTTCTCTGCACTCTTTCTAGAGTCTCCACATCTTTTTTACATCATGATGACCAAAACTGAATGCAATATTCCAAGTGTGGCCTTACCAAGGCATTATAAAGTGGTATTAACACTTCACGTGATCTTGATTCTATCCCTCTGTTTATGCAGCCCAGAACTGTGTTGGCTTTTTTTTTTTGGCAGCTGCTGCACACTGCTGGCTCATATTTAAATGGTTGTCCATAGGACTCCAAGAGGTCTGAGTTGCTTAAAAAATATCTTGACTGCCCTTTCATGGGACACTCAACCCCAACAAGGACAAGGTGAATCCTGATTACAAAGCTTATTTCCCACTGGAACCAAAAGGACCTATATCCAATCTAAAGTCAATTTCATTGAATTCAATGAACTCAGTTCAACCTGAACTCAGGCACTGGTCAACAAAATTGCCTTCTTCTTTTACAACTGGAGGACAGCCTGAGGCTATCATTCCTAGCACTTGAAGGTCTTTTATCATCTTCACATGGCTTCTCCATTTCAACTGTAAGCCATGGTGTGTAGGCTTAGCCCAATGAAATGGATCACAGTCCTTTGGAAAAGGGAGAAAAGACACCAATGTTTCTCTTACCCTGTTACGCGACTTTAGCCATGACAAAAGAGTTTGGTTGATAATGATCCTCTGTCTTTCAAAAGTCACCACTTTCTCTTTGATGAGATACTTCTCAGGGAAAAACACCCAGCTCACAATCTTCAGGTTAGCTGCTAAATCTCCATTTTGGTCCAAGTACAGTTCATATATGGAAAGATTGAGAAATTCAGTCTTCTCCAGAAAGGGATGGAACTAGAATGGGAACATCCAGGAATTTTAAAATTAGTAAACAATTATCCCTTTTTGTCTGTTCTCACTTGAATCTTTCTTCTATTACAGTGGTCTTATTTGGAAGAACAGGTTTTACCCAGTGGTGAAATCCATTTTTTTTACTACTGGTTCTGTGGGCGTGGCTTGGTGGGCGTGGCAGGGGAAGGATACTGCAAAAATCTCCATTCCCTCCCCACTCCTGGGGGAAGGATATTGCAAAATCTCCATTGCCACCCTACTCTGGGGCCAGTCAGAGGTGGTATTTGCCAGATCTCTGAACTACTCAAAATTTCCACTACTGGTTCTCCAGAACCTATCAGAACCAGCTGGATTTCACCCCAATGTCAACTTGCAAAGCTTTCAAGTTGCCATGAGCAGGAGGGAGAACTGATAGAGCTGATTGATTTCCCTAACTGAAGCTACATTCCATACATGCTTTCTTTCTGCAATCAGAAGAAGAGTGTTGAATTTCACAATCAGCCAAAGTGATTAATTAGAGAATGTGATTTATGACATGGCCAGGGAGGAGAGGAGAGATAGGGTCATAGGGGAATGTAAATCTACGTGGGATTAGTTCTAACTGCATCCGAATATTGCCGAAATGGTGCTCCTAATAAATGACTGTATTTCTTTTGAAGTTTGGCTCATGGCTCATGAATTAATTAGGGCATCTTTTGGAAACTTCACACCTGGTTTTGTTTATTGTTTATTAAATTTGTATACCACCCTACTCCCGAAGGATTCAGGGCGGTGAACAGCCATAAAATAAAACATGTAGATACAAAATTTAAAATAGAGATAAAACAAATTAAATAAATTTGGCTGAACCATTTTAAAACCCCAATAATTTAAAACCAAATTAAAATTCCCATTTAAAAAGAGGAAAAGTTTAGGTCAGGCCAGATAGTTTTACCACTATCTTCAAAAATGAAAAAGAAAAATGCAGCAAAATTTGACAATCATATACTGCCAATTTATGTATGGAAAAAAATGATAATTTATAAAATTTGTCAATGATAGGAAACATTCTAGAGCAGATCACAGATAAATTACACAAATGAAGAGAATATTTATAAATTCATTGAAAACAACAGGTGATTACCGGAAAGCATGGATTTGTTAAGAAGAAAGTTGCCAGGCTAATATTTTCCCAGAAGACTATACTGGAAACCTATCCAGACCAGCTAATTTTACATTATTGTAAGGTTACTGTCAGATTAATTTTATTTTCATATGATTTTTATACAGCTCCCCATAAAAAAAAAGAACCCCTTAATCACTAAAACCTGACCCAAAGGTACATTTTTCAAGAGGCAACGGGAGTTTCTGGTTTTTATTTGAAGACATTTCACTTTTCATCCAAGAAGCTTCTTCAGCTCTGACTGGATGGTGGGGAATGGAAGGATTTAGACTCCTTGCAGACAGGTGGTCAAATCCTGGTGAAATGGAATTTCATGACCACCAGTTAAGTGTTTTTCCGCTGAGACCGGTCTATCAAGGCAATCTGGTCCATCCAAATATGGGACAGAGCATACTGCTTTCACCTTTCAGCCCCAATCCAGGAGCCTTCGCAGGCAGTCACTTCTAAATGTGAATTCTCAAAATCAGTTAGATTAAATTCTTTCTTCCTGAATATAAGAGCCTTTTTCTTGGTATGTAATCCAATAGCTTTAACAATATTACAAGCATTAACAAACATTGATAAATTTCATTTTCATCCCTCAGACACCTTTCTTTTTCAACATTGCTCCCTAATAAGATTCTAAATTAAACATTTATCCTCTTTATTCCTTCATAAACCATTTTCTAACTATTCAGCATTAAAAATTCTAAATTAAACATTTTAAAACTTTAAACATTTTATCACCTATACCTTTTAAAATAGTATAATCTTATATTAAACATTTTAAAAACCCTCTTTATACATCAATAAGACCTTCTTAGTTCATTCCTCAAAATATAAATTTCAAAACCTTCAGGAAACTATCCCTTAAATTTTTAATTAACCATTTCTATATTTTTTCCAGTCCTTCTTCCTCAATCAACATTGCTCCCTAATGAAGTTTTAAATTAGACATTTATCCTCTTTAATCCTTCATAAAATTAGACATTTTAAAACTTTAAACATTTTATCTCATATACCTTCTTGAAGTACTATAATCTTATGTTAAACATTTTAAAAATCTCTTAATACATCAAAAAGACATTAAGTTATTTCTCAAAATATAAATTTCAAACCCTTCAGAAAGGTGTCCCTCAAATTTTTAATTAACCATTTTGATACCTCAATAACTCTTAAAAAGCTATCATTTTTACCTCGATAACTCTTAAGAAGTTATCATTTTTATATCCAGAACCAATTGTAATGACATACACCCTTAAATTATTATCTTAGAATAAACTTTAAAAATACAAATTTAATTAAGCTTCTCAACCTATTGCCAAAACCCTCCCCAAAAAAGATGAATCTTCAGTTCTTCCCTTCTTTCTGTATTTTTTCCAGTCCTTTTTCTTCGATAATTCTTTCTTCTTCAGCATTGCTCCTCCTCCTGCTTTTATTTTTGAGAATTTTAAAATTTGGATTTGAGGTTGATGTCTCTTTGAAAGTTTTTGAATTTCATTTAATTTGAAACCCCCATAAATCTCTCTCAAGTCCTCCTGATTAAACTCTTCCAGATTCCTTTGCTTTCCCCTCTTGGTCTGGAAAGCATCCTTTTGTCCAAAGTCACATTAAACTGAGTTTCTGCCCCATCTTGTTCCAACAGCTCACTACTGTCTAACAAGCCTTGAAATGATACTATATTCTCCTTTGTCTCCATGTTTTGAGTCAAAACGGTTTCCTCTTCCTGAGACCTTTCATCAAAAAAACCTTTAAGACTTTCCAGTAAAGCAGTGGTTTGTGACTCAAAAATTTCATGTATTATAGCTCTTATTTGTGTATTTGCTGGTGTGTGTAATAATAGTCCTTCAGCACTTTCAAAGGTGCCAGCCATTTTCTTTTCTTTTTTTCCAAAGTCCAGTTATTTTTAAATGTGTTCAGCTATCAGGTCAATAAATCCAATAATTTTCCACACAATTTAGAAGTATAAAGTAGTTAAGATCAATACCATAGTCTTTTTCATTTCACTAGCACTTTAAATATTTTTCTTGCCACGTTTACAATGTTGCAGCTTTAACGATCACTTTCACTTGTAACTTTCATTTTAAAAAGCCCTTAAGCGCCATCTTTTTTGCTTTTTCTTTTAAACGGAGTTAAAGTTTAATACTTGCATTTCCTGTTCTCCTGATTTGCTCTGCCAGCATCCAGATTTGAATTTTCTCATAATCCTTAAAATTGCGCTGCTGGTGTGGTCGCGACCCCTTGTTCTGCTTAAAGCAGAATCGTCCCGGATCCGGAGCACTGAAGAGCTTTCAGGGAGCTCTCACCCTGCAAACCCCAGGCTTAGAAAAAAGCCTGGGGGTCTAGGGGAGCTCTACCCAGACCCTTCTGCTCTTCTCTCCACCTTTTTCCCTGGAGGAGAGTTTTGAGCTGCTAGAACAGCTGATTTTCACTGTTCTAGCGGCAAACAGAATCACGGGGCTGGAGCTCCTGAAGGAGCATCCATTCGGGGAACATGGAGCCACCGGAAGTCCCCACCACGTCCCATTCTGACTGAATACGAGGGGGGGGGAAAGCTTCTTAAAAGAGGGAGAGTTTTAGTGGTGAGCCAGAGAATCAGAGAATTTCAGTCTCCCCTTCACTGATTGTCTTAATCCAAAGACTGAGCAGCCATCAGTCAGAGAAGCTTTTATTGGGATTCCTGCGGAGATGAGAGGCCGAGCTACGTTGAGTGGAAGATTCCTGCAAATGTATAAAGGTAAAATTCTATAATGCTAATCATAAATCCATATGTACAGGAACTTGTTTAAAAATGCACACATGTTTTAAATATTAGGAGTGTTTAATATCACACAATATCTGTCATAGTTCCTGCTCTTGTGAACACTATCACCTGAGCGATGACTTTGGCCAAACCTTTTGGCATTCTGTAGCACAACTAGAATGAGCCTGACTAGGTAGCTCAAGTGGCTAAGACACTGAGCTTGTCGATCAGAAAGGTCAGCAGTTCGGTGGTTTGAATCCCTAGTACAGGTCTCTTGCATGAGCAGGGGGTTGGACTAGATGACCTCCAAGGTCCCTTCCAACTCTGTTAATGTTAATATAGTTCCCTTCCTTCTCCTTTGGATGCCTTCTCAAAAGGAAATTGTTGAATGGATCTTTGCCGGGACCCCTTACCTCCCACGGCTGCAGTCTCGGAGCCCCCAACCTTTCTTTCACCTTCTTCCTTCTCCTCCTGGATCTGGAGGAATACGCAGCATTCAAGGCATGGGCTAGAGTGTTAATGGCAGTGTAAAAATGGTGGACATTGTTGATTGCAATCATGTTCTTTTCCTTTTGGGTGCCCAGTGGATCTTTCTCAATGCATCTTTTCCGGCCTTTGACAGAAAAGACGTGCTTTGAAAAAAGACAAAGAAATGACTGTTCTCCTAAGGGTGGGTTCACTAAGAAACTGGGTTCAAAGGCATCATTTGTCTGCCATTTTTTTTCCTCTAAAGCAACAGTCCAGATACTATTAATATATTTGAGATGTCTGTCATTTTTCAGTGGAAATAGTCCAATGAGTGTGGTGATCCAGACTTTCTCTACAACGGGTCCTGGCAAATGCATAAATGTTAAATGGAAAGGAAGAATTCTGTCCAAAACGGCACCATATTCTATATAGTGAAGAAAGACATTGACTTGTCTCCATTTAGAGAGGGCAACCCTGAAGTGTGCTGTATCTCCAGTTGTTGAGAATTGCTGTGATAGAGCCACACAAATTCCATTCTTGACAAGCAAAGGAGTCAAAGTCCTCATAAAATTCTCTCCATTTTCTGTGTCTGTAGCAAAAAGACCAATCAAGGTCCATCTAAAATGGAGGAGCACTCGGATAATTCCTGGGTACAGGATGCCTTTTGAGGGTAGAAGTCGGTTATAAAAGGGCAGTTGACTTTTATCACGCAGTGACTCTGAAAAAAATTCAAAACTGATCTGAAAAAGCAATGAAGAATATTGTTGGAATCCTTCATAAAATATATCTTAATAAATATGTATTAAAATTAGAATTACATAGGTTAGGTAATTATTTTACAAGTAGTATAATGGACACTAGAATAACATTTCAATATAAATAGACATGAATAGACTGTAGTCCTTCTTTTCATTAAACTAGACATACCCAGTTCCTGCAACTGTTCTTCATGTGATTTAGCCTCCAGTCCCCTAATCATCTTTGTTACTCTTCTCTGCACTCTTTCTAGAGTCTCAACATCTGATGAACTTCATCATAAATATTTAAGGATAAAAAATAGTAAACATGCGGGTTAAAATGTTGACCATTGAAAATATTATTTTTGTTAACATTATGTACAAAGGATGATTTCCCATCTCTGCTGTACCTTCCTTTTGTATGGAAGTCCCTTTGTTTGAACATACAAAAAAGACCCAAAGCAATGATGACGATGTCATAAGAGGATATCTCTGTTTTGATCCTTGCCTCCTAAACCCTGTAGATCCCAATTCCTAACCATTTCACCTAGAATGGCCATGCTGAAAAGCAGTTCTTCAATTTCAAAGTGAAGATACGGTTGGATCTATCACATACCAACTTACCAGCCCATTCAACTTAACAATAGAAAAACACACATACAAACCTGAGGGACTTTGTAGGGGCCTCCTAAGGTTGACATCTGGATGGAGATGTCATCGGTAGCTGCATCAACAAGAGCCAAAAGGTGGTCCTTCCTTCCACAGCTGTAGTTGGGAACATTGGCTTCTCCCATTGAGAGCATGTCTAGCAAGGCATCTGAAGTCACAAGTCTGTTCAAATAGTTGTCGTGGATGTTGTAACCAAGTGTGAGGTTTTTCAGAAGTCCAGGAGTCTTGTTGACCACTTGAATATTAAAAATGTAGCGTAGGATTCTTAACATATCAAAAGGTAAACTAATATAAAAATGTTCATGTTATCATCGTCATCATTAACAGCAAAAGCAAAATATTTTTTCAATTTAATTCTTTTTGCCTTCTGATGCTTAAGCCAATACTGATCCAAAACTAAAGGCAAATGATAGCTAACCATCACCTTTTCTTTTCAATGAGTGTTGGGAAGATCACTGAATAACTGGAGATAGTTTTCCACTAAGGTTAAAGGTAAAGGTAAAGGTTCCCCTCGCACATATGTGCTAGTTGTTCCTGACTCTAGGGGATGGTGCTCATCTCCATTTCAAAGACGAAGAGCCAGTGCTGTCTGAAGACGTCTCCATGGTCATGTGGCTGGCATGACTTAACGCCAAAGGTACACAGAATGGTGTTACCTTCCCACCAACGGTGGTCCCTATTTTTCTACTTGCATTTTTTACATGCTTTTGAACTGCTAGGTTGGCAGAAGCTGGGACAAGTCACGGGAGCTCACCCCGTTAAGCAGCACTAGGGATTCAAACTGTTGAACTGCCAACCTTTCGATCAACAAGCTCAGCATCTTAGCCACTGAGCTACCGCGTCCCATCCCACTAAGGTTACGAATCATACATAAATCATTATTTGTAACAGCAGTAATTTTCAGCTGCCAAGTAACCAGGATTCAAAATCATTCAATTATTAAAGTACAATCATTATTATAGGAAGAGGTTGTTTTATAAGTGACCCAGGAAAGCAATTCTAAAATCAAGTCATTCTCTGACCCTATAAGGATCAGGTATTGAATATGAATGAGCAATTATAAAACTATATAAATGGGCTGGGCAGAGGCAACTACAACTCATTCACTAACTACTTTAAACTAAAATTGGTATTCAAGTGATAACTCATGATAGGACCAGGAAAGGATCTGTACTTTTTCAGGTATTTTTTTCCTGCCCCATTTCTGGATTTGAGCTTTTTCTACAAAATAAGTCAAACGGAGGAACAATGGAAATCCAGATAGTTCAACAAATTAGACAGGTCCTACGATATAGGCATAAGTGAAATAAGAAGAAAAGAATGAAAATGTTAGAAGAGCAAATAGAGCAGTGGTGGGTTTCAAATTTTTTTACTACCGGTTCTGTGGGCATGACTTGGTGGGCATGGCAGGAGAAGGATACTGTAAAATCTCAATTCCCACCCCACTACAAAATCCCCATTTCCTCCCAATCATCTGGGACTCAGGAGGCAGAGAATAGATGAGGTGGGGCCAGTCAGAATTTTTACTACCGGTTCTCTGAACTACTCAAAATTTCCACTACCAGTTCTCCAGAATTGGTCAGAACCTGCTGAAACCCACCTCTGAAATAGAGGGTTTAGGATTACACCACCACACTGAATGACTTACGTGTCAAACTGATTATAAGGAGCGCTGTCGAAAAGCATCATTGTCATACGCACTATTTTTGTTCCAGTGGTGATCATACTAATGAGATAGTCTCCTGGCCTGTAATAGCTCCATGGTTTTTTTCTACTCTGGTGCTTCAAGTTCAATGGGCACTTCATCCTAAGCCTCCCAGAAATTGGCTGGACTAGAAGGATCAGAAATAGAAGCCGAAGATCCATAATTCATAGGTCTGAATCAATCCCCGTCCCGTTTCTAAGAAAGACCAAGAAGAAGAGTTAGATGAATTCAAAGCATCTTCACAATTTGGAAATTCTAGTGGCTTTCATGATTCAGACAGAGACAAACCAAGCTTCACCTGGAAAAGACAGAATGTACATTCAGTAGCACAGTCCCTACCTGTCCCAAAACCTGTGCCACAATGTGTGTAACTGAGGTATTTATCCTTTTCTGATGTAAGATGTTGATTCTGTCTGATGTTTACCTCAAAGAGAATCACTGGAGAAGTAGCAGAAGACATCAGAGGCCAGAATTTTGAAAATTACAGAGAGAAGCAACTTCTCCTCTGGGAAGGCCAAACTTCTTCAGGGCTCCATTTCCAGAGGAATTAAAAAAAAATCTTAGTGAAAAATAATAGTTCCATCCCTGGGGGCATTATTCTGTAGTGGTTGTGGTCTTTTCTGTCAGGTCTTGTCCAGAAAGTGATGATGGAAAATGATCGTTCAACACCCAGATGACTTCTGCTGTTTTTCCAATGTAGCAACTTGTCTCCAAAGACCATTGGGAAAGTTCATCCATCCAGAGTTATGGAGTTTGGTGATATTCTAGGTTGGTGGCACTCTCTTCTAATGCCAATTAAATAATCAATATTTTGAACCCTGTCTAATGTGAAGAGTTGGGCCTGTTTGTGATTTTCTTTTCTGTTAGATATCCATTTATGACTCCTGATTACTTGTGACTGAGGAGAAGTTTTATTTCCTTTTTTTATTCTAGAAATATCAATTTTTGGATGAGAGTTGACTAAGAGCAGGAAAATGACAACCTGTGTGCGGACTGTTCCATTTGCTTAATAGGGAGAAAGTTATAGAGTGGAATTAACTTTTTTATTTTTTCTCTCTCTCGGTTGTCCTTCCATATTTGTTTAACACACTGAGAAACTTTATATTGTGAAGCTTTTTTTTTTTAATTTTTTTATTAAGTTTTTAAATAAAGACAAAAGACAAAACACAAAACAACACCCAGTGTATAATACAAAATAGGGAGAAGCGGAGGAATTTTTTCTCCATCTTCAGGTCTTCCAAAATTCTCTTTGCATTGGCACTGGCATTATGTCTTCCAAGTTCCAAGAATTGGTGGGAGAAGATACAGGTTAATAATTGGAATAAGAAATATAAGGATAGAATGAGGGTAGAAAGGTTAAAAACGGAATTTGAAGAAATAGTATCCCAATTAGGAATGGAAGAAATTGGAATTAAGGGATTGGTTAGTAAGGTATATAAAATTATTAATTTGGATAGTAATTTACAAATGGTGATGAAAGATAATTGGGTAAAAGATTTAGAAACGGATATTACAGAACAGGAATGGATTTTGAATTGGAATAGTAGAATAATGAGGACCTTATCAATAAGAATGAAGGAGCATAGTTATAAAGTTATCTGGAAATGGTACCTGTTCCCAATAAGATTATATAAAAAGAATAAAAGTGCTAGCAAGTTATGTTGGAGATGTAAAGTGGAGAATGGGACATATGAACACATGTGGTATGGATGTCGTAAAGTGAAGAATTTTTGCTTACGAATAGAAGAAGAATCTAGTAAAATAATTAAAAAGAAGGTAAAGTTGGGAGTAGATACCATTCTCATATTAAAGTTGAATGACAAGGTGTTAACAATTGATGAAAGAGAGCTTGTAAGGATATTGGTCATTATGGGACGAATTGTGATTGCAAGATACTGGAAATTGAATATTGAATACAAAATAAATGAATGGTTCAGAGAAGTTTGGAAAACTGCTCTTAATTCTGAAGCTTTTTAAAAATTTTACTAGACATAAAAAGGACTGCGATGGCAGCAATTCCCACAGCATGGTCCATGGTGCCATCTGATTTCTTGCCATACCCTTCCAGAAACTGCTTTAGTAGCAATCGTAGCGACTTCGATATAAGTCGAAGCGACTTATATACCACTTCACAGTTCTTTACAGCCCTCTCTAAGTGGTTACAGAGTCAGCTTATTGCCCTCAACAATCTGGGTTCTCATTTTACTGACCCTGGAAGGATGGAAGGTTGAGTCAACCTTGTGGTCCCTCTTCTTTTTCTTGTGTATGTAGTTGGTTGCCCCTTTGGCCTACCCATCTCTGAGACAACCCCAAAGATTGCCAAGTACTTGGTGAGTGTGGTTAAGAGGTCCTTTGTTCCTGATGTCACTGAGTCATTTTTTTTTTGTTCTTTTGTGATTACATTTCTTACCTGGAGGGAGAGGACATTGATATGTATACCAGTGGTGGGTTGCTCCTGGTTCGCACCGGTTCGCAAGAACCGGTAGTAAAAAAATTTAGTAGTTCGGAGAACCGGTAATAACATTGGCTGGCCACGCCCCTGAACCAGTCCCCAGTCCAGTCGCCGCTTGCTTACCCCGCCCACCTCATCAGAGGCGATTTTTTTTAAACTTTTAAAACCATTTTTTCTACAACGTCTTCGGCTGAAAAAATGCTTTTAAAAGTTAAAAAAAAAGCCTCTGATGATCGTGCGGCTCAGCTGGGATTTTCAGAGGCTTCTGAAAACATTTTTTCTGCAACCTCTTCAGCTGAAGAGGTTGTAGGAAAAAAAAAATCCCTTTAAAAGCCTCTGGCGATCCCAGCAGATTTGCCTGATCGTCAGAAGCTTCTAAAAGCATGTTGTCCTGCAATTTCTTCAACCGAGGAGGTTGTAGGAAAAAAAATCCCTTTAAAAGCGTCTGGTAATCCCAGATGACTTGCCTGATCGTCAGAGGCTTCTAAAAACATTTTTTTCTGCAACCTCTTAAAGTTGTTGAAATAATGCTTTTAAAAATAAAAATAAAAAGTTGGCCACGCCCACTCAGTCACATTACCCCCCCAAGCCACGCCCACAAAATAAGCCACGCCCACAGAACCGGTAGTAAAAAATTTTAGAACCCACCTCTGATGTATACCTTGTCCTATAAGAGTTAACTGGGGGGGGGTTGAGTGAGAGAGGGAAGCTGTCAGGAAAGGTAGAACCACCCTGACTGAGACAGGTAGAATGTGGCTCATTCCTTATGATAATCAAAGGTTGTCCCACTGTAGGGCCTTAGGTTTCTACTCACAGTGCCTGGCTACCAGTGTCAGACCTGGAAGCCATCTTTCTACCTTTCAGCCATCAGGCTTCAGGCCTGCCACAAATTCTACTGTGGGAGAATGGGAGGGGGGATTGTATAGACTGAAGAGGATATGTAGTCAAAATAACATTCTTTCTAGAAAGTCAAGGCCTGGAGCTGTGCTGAGAAGAATGAGGAGGTATCTTCTGTTCCAGAGGGTACCTGATTGGTTCGTGTGGTGGACATGTGGGTGAAAGGCAAGGACTTGAACATTCTTTTGGGTAAGGAAAACCTGGAAGCCTTCAGATTCAGGTTTTCCCAGATGTGCCAATATCTAATCAAAATTAGCTTTGAGGAACCTCAAGCCTTGGAGTTTGATTTCATTGGGGACTTCAGGTTCCAGCTGTTATTTTGAATGCCATGTTGATGCCTAACAAGTTTGCTTTCTGGACTTTCTGGTTTTTCTTTGAAGATGTTTTGCTTCTGCATCCAAGAAGTTTCTTCAGTTCTGACTGGATGGTGGGGAATGCAAAAAAGAATGCAAATGACTAGCTGTCTGTGAGGAGTATAAATCCTTCCATTCCCCACCATCCAATCATAGCTGAAGAAGCTTCTTGGATGCAGAAGCAAAACATCTTCAAAGAAAAACCAGAAAGTCCAGTTGCCTCTTGAAAAAGCACCTTTGGGACAACGGTGACTGAGAAGCTCCATTGACATGTTCCTTATATGGGTGTAGAACTATCTTCCTCCTGCATCACTTTCTGGAGATGCCCTGAGAGGAAGGACAACAACAACGACAGAACAATGTCTCTGTAGATGGATCTTGGGTTAGTTTTCCAGCTACCCCTCTGCACATGGAGCTCTGGAAGAAACTCAGGAACCCCAGAGGAAATAATGCTTCTCACTGTGTGTCAGGGTTCCGATGGATGCCCTAATTAAATCATGAGCCTCGAACCAAGCTTCAAGAGAAATCCAGTTATTTATTCGGAGCTTCATGTCAGCACATTCCAAGTGAAGCCAACTCTGACCCCATGTAATTTACGGCCGAGACATGACCCTGTTTCTCCCCTCCCCCCAGGATGTGTCACCCGTCACATTCACCAATGGAGCAATTTTGCGGGTTGTCGAGATCACTCCCCTCCAGCCATTGTGGGTAGCCCTGGGAGACAGCCTTGAGAGAGATATGTCTGGAATGTGCTTTTGGTTTTGGCTGCCATTCTGTTTCGTTGTTTTCCCATCCTCCTTGCCTATGGCAACTCGAGAGCAGGCCAGGATGCTTTGGGAGTTGATATTGTGATTATTGCCATCCTGATCTTTGAAACTTCTTCTGCTATTCCTCCAGTGACTGCCGTTGTTGTAAACATCAGACTGAAGCAACATGAAAGGGATCTTGCATCACAAATATAAATGCCTCTACCCATGTTTTGCAAAAGACTTAAGGCAGGCAGGGGCTGTGTTCTGGAATGTACATTTCTCTCCTTTCCAGGTGATGCTTGGCTAGTCTTTGTCTTAGCTAGGAAAGTCCCTGGCAATTCCATCTTGTGAGAGTGCTTTGAACTCTTCTTGCTTTCCTTGTTTAGAAACAGTAAGGAACTCCCTATGAGTTATGGACCTCCTGCCTCTGTTTCTGATGCTGCTAGTACCCCACCCAGTGTTTGGAAAGCTTAGAATCAAATGTCAACTGAGTTCGAGGCACCAGGATGGAAAAAAACCATGGAGCTATTACAAGCCAGGAGACCATCTCATTAGTATAGTCACCACTGCAACAAAAGCAGTACATCTAAGGTTGCCTTTCAACATACCTCCTTATGATCAGTCTTATTCGTAAGTACTTCAGTGCAATGCAGATTTAATTCCTCTTTTTCTTATTCACTTACTACTATATTTCAGGACCTGTCTAGTTCCCCGAATCATTTAATTTCCATGCTTTCCTCTTTTGTCGTATTTTGAGGAAAAGACTCAAATCAAAGAGCCTTGGTAATACAGTGGTCTAAGGCACCCTGTTATTAAGCTGGTTATTAA